CCACAGACTCACACAGAGACCCACAGACTCACACACGGAGACCCACAGACTCACACACGGAGACCCACAGACTCGCACGGAGACCCACAGACTCGCACGGAGGCCCACAGACTCGCACGGAGGCCCACAGACTCGCACGGAGACCCACAGACTCGCACGGAGACCCACAGACTCGCACGGAGACCCACAGACTCGCACGGAGACCCACAGACTCGCACGGAGACCCACAGACTCGCACGGAGACCCACAGACTCGCACGGAGACCCACAGACTCGCACGGAGACCCACAGACTCGCACGGAGACCCACAGACTCGCACGGAGACCCACAGACTCGCACGGAGACCCACAGACTCGCACGGAGACCCACAGACTCGCACGGAGACCCACAGACTCGCACGGAGACCCACAGACTCGCACGGAGACCCACAGACTCGCACGGAGACCCACAGACTCGCACGGAGACCCACAGACTCGCACGGAGACCCACAGACTCGCACGGAGACCCACAGACTCGCACGGAGACCCACAGACTCGCACGGAGACCCACAGACTCGCACGGAGACCCACAGACTCGCACGGAGACCCACAGACTCGCACGGAGACCCACAGACTCGCACGGAGACCCACAGACTCGCACGGAGACCCACAGACTCATACAGAGACCCACAGACATACACAGAGACCGCACAAACTCACACAGAACCCGCACGGACTCACACAGAGACCCATAGACTCACACATACCCCCAGAGACACAGGGACCCATAGACTTACACAGAGGCGCACAGACTCACACAGAGACCCACAGACTCACACAGAGACCCATCGACTCAAGGGTCCACAGACTCACACAGAGACCCACAGACTCACACAGAGACCCACAGACTCATACAGAGACCCACAGACATACACAGAGACCGCACAAACTCACACAGAACCCGCACGGACTCACACAGAGACCCATAGACTCACACATACCCCCAGAGACACAGGGACCCATAGACTTACACAGAGGCGCACAGACTCACACAGAGACCCACAGACTCACACAGAGACCCAAAGACTCACACAGAGACCCACAGACTCACACAGAGACCCACAGACTCACATAGAGACCCACAGACTCACACAGAGACCCATCGACTCAAGGGCCCACAGACTCACACAGAGACCCACAGACTCACACAGAGACCCACAGACTCACACAGAGACCCACAGACTCACACAGAGACCCACAGACTCACACAGAGACCCACAGACTAACACAGAGACCCACAGACTCGCACAGAGATCCAGAGACTTGCACAGAAACCCACAGACTCGCACAGAGATCCACAGACTCACACAGAGACCGACAGACCCAGAGACCCATAGACTCACAAAGGGACCCACAGACTCGCACAGAGACCCACAGACACACAAAGACCCACAGACTTACACAGAGACCCATAGTCTCGCACAGAGACCCATAGACTCACAGAGACCCACAGACTTACAGAGACCCATAGACTTACACAGAGACCCAGAGACACACAGAGACCCACAGACTTACACAGAGACCCATAGACTCGCACAGAGACCCACAGACTTACACAGAGACCCATAGACTCGCACAGAGACCCATAGACACACAGAGACCCACAGACACACAGAGACCCATAGACTCGCACAGAGATCCACAGACTTACAGAGACCCATAGACTCTCACAGAGACCGACAGACCCAGAGACCCATAGACTCACAAAGGGACCCACAGACTCGCACAGAGACCCACAGACACACAGAGACCGACAGACTTACACTGAGGCCCGTAGACTCGCACGGAGATCCACACGTACAGGGACTCATAGACTCAAACAGGGACCTACAGGGACCCACAGATCCCACCGAGAGGCTCCCACAAACTCGCACTGAGATCCATAGACTCACACAGACCACCATAGACACATGGACCCATAGACTCACACAGAGACCCACAGACACACAGAGACCGACAGACTTACACTGAGGCCCTTAGACTCGCACAGAGATCCACACGTACAGGGACCCATAGACTAAACAGGGACCTACAGGGACCCACAGATCCCACCGAGAGGCTCCCACAAACTCGCACTGAGATCCATAGACTCACACAGACCACCATAGACACATGGACCCATAGACTTACACAGAGACCCATAGACGCGCACAGAGACCCACAGACTCACACAGGAATCCATAGACTCACACAGAGACCCACAGACTCACACAGAGACCCATACACTCACACATACCCCAATAGACACGGGACCCATAGACTTACACAGAGACCCATAGACTTAAGGACCCACAGACTCACACAGAGACCCACAGACTCAGAGACCCAAAGACTCACACAGAGAGCCACAGACTCACACAGAGACCCATCAACTCAAGGGTCCACAGACTCACACAGAGACCCACAGACTCACACAGAGACCCACAGACGCACACAGAGACCCACAGACATACACAGAGACCGCACAAACTCACACAGAAACCGCACAGACTCACACATACCCCCATAGACTCACACATACCCCCATAGACACAGGGACCCATAGACTTACACAGAGGCCCATAGACTCACTCAGAGACCCACAGACTCACACAGAGACCCACAGACTCACAGAGACCCACAGACTCACACAGAGACCCACAGACTCACACAGAGACCCACAGACTCACACAGAGACCCACAGACTCACACAGAGACCCATCGACTCAAGGGCCCACAGACTCACACAGAGACCCACAGACTCACACAGAGACCCACAGACTCCCACCGAGACCCACAGACTCACACAGAGACCCACAGACTCACACAGAGACCCACAGACTCACACAGAGAACCACAGACTCACAGAGACCCACAGACTCACACCGAGACCCACAGACCCACAAAGAGACCCACAGACTCACACAGAGACCCACAGACTCACACAGAGACCCACAGACTCACACAGAGATCCACAGACTCACACAGAGACCCATAGACTCACACAGAGACCCACAGACTCACACAGAGAACCACAGACTCACACAGAGACCCGCCGACTCACACAGACTCACACAGAGACCCACAGACTCACACAGAGACCCACAGACTCACACAGAGATCCACAGACTCACACAGAGACCCACAGACTCACACAGAGACCCACAGACTCACACAGAGACCCACAGACTCACACAGACCCACAGACTCACACAGAGACCCACAGACTCCCACCGAGAGGCTCCCACAGAGACCCACAGACTCACACAGAGACCCACAGACTCACACAGAGACCCACAGACTCACACACAGAGACCCACAGACTCACATAGAGACCCACAGACTCACACAGAGACCCACAGACTCACACAGAGACCCACAGACTCACACAGAGACCCACAGACTCACACAGAGACCCACAGACTCACACAGAGACCCACAGACTCACACAGAGACCCACAGACTCACACAGAGAACCACAGACTCACAGAGACCCACAGACTCACACCGAGACCCACAGACCCACAAAGAGACCCACAGACTCACACAGAGACCCACAGACTCACACAGAGACCCACAGACTCACACAGAGATCCACAGACTCACACAGAGACCCATAGACTCACACAGAGACCCACAGACTCACACAGAGACTCACAGACTCACACAGAGACCCGCCGACTCACACAGACTCACACAGAGACCCACAGACTCACACAGAGACCCACAGACTCACACAGAGATCCACAGACTCACACAGAGACCCACAGACTCACACAGAGACCCACAGACTCACACAGAGACCCACAGACTCACACAGACCCACAGACTCACACAGAGACCCACAGACTCCCACCGAGAGGCTCCCACAGAGACCCACAGACTCACACAGAGACCCACAGACTCACACAGAGACCCACAGACTCACACACAGAGACCCACAGACTCACATAGAGACCCACAGACTCACACAGAGACCCACAGACTCACACAGAGACCCACAGACTCACACAGAGACCCACAGACTCACACAGAGACCCACAGACTCACACAGACCCACAGACTCACACAGAGACCCACAGACTCCCACCGAGAGGCTCCCACAGAGACCCACAGACTCACACAGAGACCCACAGACTCACACACGGAGACCCACAGACTCACACACGGAGACCCACAGACTCGCACGGAGACCCACAGACTCGCACGGAGGCCCACAGACTCGCACGGAGACCCACAGACTCGCACGGAGACCCACAGACTCGCACGGAGACCCACAGACTCGCACGGAGACCCACAGACTCGCACGGAGACCCACAGACTCGCACGGAGACCCACAGACTCGCACGGAGACCCACAGACTCGCACGGAGACCCACAGACTCGCACGGAGACCCACAGACTCGCACGGAGACCCACAGACTCGCACGGAGACCCACAGACTCGCACGGAGACCCACAGACTCGCACGGAGACCCACAGACTCGCACGGAGACCCACAGACTCGCACGGAGACCCACAGACTCGCACGGAGACCCACAGACTCGCACGGAGACCCACAGACTCGCACGGAGACCCACAGACTCCCACGGAGACCCACAGACTCACACGGAGACCCACAGACTCCCACCGAGAGAGGCTCCCACAGAGACCCCGCCAAGGTTGACTGAGCGCGGGGTGGAGGAGGAGGCTCGGCCCCGCAAGGGCAACAGGGCCCGAGGCCCGTGCGGACGATCTCACGACGGGGTCGAGTTCCGCAGGGGTCCCAGGCTTAAGTCTTGGCGGTCCCAGGGAACCCCGGCGGCCTCCGGAGGTCGAGGGGGACCAAGGGGATGAATTAGGCGGTACGAGGCGGACCCGGCGGACTCCGTGGTGCCACCGTGGCCTAGCGCGGGCTTAGAGGCGCCCCTCTTCTTGTGGGCCCCATTTGTGGGGTTCCCCGGCCCCCTTATCCCCCCCGCCGTGAGCCCCCTTCAGCCCCTTCACCTGTTGAGCAGCTTGTAGGCCGCGTCCACGTTGCCGCCCTGCACCATCACCGTGCGGGAGAGGAACTTCGCGTGAGCCGCCATTGCAACAACAACAGCAGCAGGAGGAGGAGGGGGAGGCCGCCGGCAGAGGTCGCCCCTGGCCGGCAGAGGGCGCCCCTGGCCGGCAGAGGGCGCCCCTGGCCGCCAGAGGGCGCCCCTGGCCGCCAGAGGGCGCCCCTGGCCGCCAGAGGGCGCCCCTGGCCGCCAGAGGGCGCCCCTGGCCGCCAGAGGGCGCCCCTGGCCGCCAGAGGGCGCCCCTGGCCGCCAGAGGGCGCCCCTGGCCGCCAGAGGGCGCCCCTGGCCGCCAGAGGGCGCCCCTGGCCGGCAGAGGGCGCCCCTGGCCGGCAGAGGGCGCCCCTGGCCGGCAGAGGGCGCCCCTGGCCGGCAGAGGGCGCCCCTGGCCGCCAGAGGTCGCCCCTGGCCGCCAGAGGTCGCCCCTGGCCGGCAGAGGGCGCCCCTGGCCGCCAGAGGTCGCCCCTGGCCGGCAGAGGGCGCCCCTGGCCGCCAGAGGTCGCCCCTGGCCGGCAGAGGGCGCCCCTGGCCGCCAGAGGTCGCCCCTGGCCGGCAGAGGGCGCCCCTGGCCGGCAGAGGGCGCCCCTGACCGGCAGAGGGCGCCCCTGGCCGGCAGAGGGCGCCCCTGGCCGGCAGAGGGCGCCCCTGGCCGGCAGAGGGCGCCCCTGGCCGCCAGAGGGCGCCCCTGGCCGCCAGAGGGCGCCCCTGGCCGGCAGAGGTCGCGACGAGTTTCAGGTTCATTTTATTTATTTTGATTCTAGATTTAAATACTCTTTGGTTCTATTCGGTAAAGTCACACTTGTGTTGTGGCCGAAACGTCGTGAAATTTTTAATTTTTTGTGTTGTTTTTGAGCCGTTCGGCTCTTGAATCGGGTTGCAACCGCAACAAACAACAAACAAAAACAAGAAAAACATCTTAAAGTAACTACTACGTGTTGACTGTGCAAAACAGAAAATCCATGGGGGAGAGAAAAAACAGCAAAAATATTCCTGAAAAAAAGCACCGTGCAAAAAAATCCCAGTGGCATGCAACAACAACCACAAGACAACTTAAATTAAGGCCATCAGTCTAACTCAAGTACTACAACAACAACCACAAGACAACTTAAATTAAGGCCATCAGTTTAACTCAAGTACTACAACAAAACAAACATATCCAAACCAAAAAAAAACGTTTTCCAAATCACCAAAAAATAAAGCCATAATTTCAACGTAACAGTGATCACAAGGACTGTGACCGATTTTTTTTTTTTACAATAAACTACATAAATAACATGTAACACCAAAATCCTAGAGCCATAGCTGGCTGCATGAGTTACTCCACAACAGCAGAAAGCATCAAGTCGGAGTATCAAATTTTTCAATGCACCTTTAAGATCAGCGCGCTAAATCAAAATACAGATAACACTTTGCAGCGGTCGTCCGGAGCGAAGCATTTTATTTTATTTTACGCCAATGAATAGCAGTGGCAGCTATGGGTGTACAACTCCTATGGAGCGCCTTGTCCGTGGGGTTTCTCGTGCAGTGGAGCGCTTCTGTGCCTGGGCTCTCGAGGGATGGGAGCCGCGTGGTTCTGTGTTGCGATCGTGGTTGGTAAGGATGGTGGAGCGGTGGCGCAGTGGTTAGCGGCACTCTCCTACGAAGGCTTTGATGTTCTTTCCTGAATTTTTCCTGTTGCGCGTAGTCACTTTAAGATGTTTTTCTTGTTCGTGTTTTTTTGTTTTGTTGCGGTTGCGCCCGAGTCAAGAGCCGCGTGGCTCACAGGGCTATCTCCATATATATAAAAGGCAAAGTTGTGAATATGTGTTGTCTGTTCAAAATGTTTAGCGTACTTCCCGACATGCAACAAACTTGAAATTTGCCATGTGAGTACTTTCCAGACTGTACACCATGCAAAAATTATAAAAATACACTCTTTTGGGGGGGGGGGGGGGTAGCACAATAATGCATAGATTTTTTGCACGGCAAGTGAGCTGTGACGTCAAATCTGTCACGTGACCCGCGCACGTGGAAGCGTAACGCATTGTAGTGTAGCGGTTAGCGCGCTGTGTGTGTATCTGTGTGTCTGTGTGTGTCTGTTTTTTGTGTCTGTGTGTATATGTGTCTGTGTGTATCTGTGTCTGTGTGTGTCTGTGTGTGTGTTTCTATGTATAGTGTCTGTGTGTGTGTGTTTGAGGCTGCAGTGCCTCAAATATTGGAAGAAGCCATCCCCTGTGAGTGGCTGGCTGAGGTGCCATCTGTTGAGGAAGTACTGAAGGCGATCCGGAGTCTGAGACCAGGAAAGGCACCGGGTAGAGACGATCTCCCAAGCGACATGCTGAGGGAGGGTGGCGTTTGTGCACAGACTGCCCTATATGACATCATGACAACAATCTGGACCACTGGACGGGTTCCGCAGGATTGGAAGGATGCCCTGGTGGTCCCCCTCTTTAAGAAGGGGGATCGCACAGACTGTAATAACTACAGGGGCATCTCACTCCTCAGTGTGCCGGGAAAGGTCCTGGCAAGGATTATTTAACATCGCCTTGCCAGGCACGCTGAGGAGAGACTTGCGGAGCCCCAATGCGGTTTCAGGAAAGGGCGGTCCTGTACAGATGCCATATTTTCTGTCCGTCTGCTACAGCAGAGGTGTAGGGAATTCCAACAAGACCTACATCTCTGCTTTATTGACCTGGTCAAGGCCTATGATACCATCAGTAGGCCTGGGCTCTGTGTTGTTCTTCGTGCTTTTGGAGTCCCTGACCCTCTGCTCACGATCATTAAGGACCTTCATGATGGTGAGCGGGCCCGGGTAAAACTACGTGGCCGGGAGTCAGAGCCATTCCCTGTACACCTTGCGGTGCGACAGGGATGTCCTCTGGCTCCCACATTATTTAACATCTACTTTGACCACGTAGTTCGTGAAGCCTTCAATAGCTGTACGGGGGAATCTCCATTTGGTACAGATATAATGGGAGGCTGATCGATGCCCGGGTGCGGTCAAGGGATGGCTCCCTATTGTTCAACCACGATATGTATGCCGATGATTTGGTAATAGCTGCTCATTCAGAGGAGGAGTTGGAGACGCTGCTGCTGAGACTGGAGCATGCCACTAAGAGATGGGGCCTTACCATCAGCCCCACCAAAACTAAGCACCTGCCTGGGTATTTTGTACCATCGGACACTCCACCCCCACAAATCCCAATCGGTGATGGAACAGTTGTGGAGAGAGTGGAGAGTTTCCCATACCTGGGCAGTGTGCTCATGACCGGCTCCAGTTTAACAGCAGAGGTCTCACTCTTTTCATCGGTTGCGTAACGCTGTGTGGAAGCTACCTGGTCTGTCGCTCCGCACGAAGCTTTAGGTCTTCTCAGCCATTGTCATTCCCTCCCTTCATTACGCTTGCGAAACGTGGACCCCCTTAATGGAACATCTTCGCCTGTTAGAAACATTTAGGCTGGCCTGCCTACGATCCATCCTGGGTTTAACCAGGCTGGATTGTGTGAGGAGCTCACAAATCCTTGAAAGATCTGGGCAAGTTCCCATCGGTGAGCTCCTCCGGCAGGCAAGGCTGCGTTGGCTGGGTCATGTAGCCCGCATGCCCAGCCACCGCATGCTGAAACAGCTTTTGTTCGGCCGGATCGAGGGGGCTAAACGGGCGCGGCACGGGCTGCAGAAGAGATGGAGTGATGTGGTACAGGAGGACGTGGAGCTGAGTGGACTTGCCGATGACTGGTACCAGCGGTGTCAAGATCGGCCTCTGTGGAGGAGGCTCGTGAAGGACGCTACTGGGCAGTTGGAGGCAACGGAGGGCGGAGGAGCGACGCTCACAACAACGAGCGGAGCGCCGGGTGGCTAAAGCATAGCAGGTTGGCACAGTAGGGGGCGCAGGTGGTGCATCAGCCAGTCATCTCAGTCATCTTAGTCCGTCGACCCGTGGCACTTGGGTCTGCCCCGTGACCTGCCCGCGGGCGTTCGACACTTCACGTGGCCTCAAGGTGCACATGGCCTGGCACAAGCGTCGTGGTGACGTCACCGCCACTTAGTGGCGAATGGCGGTTGTTGTGTGTATCGCTGTCTGTGTGTGTGTCTGTGTGTATCTGTGTCTGTTTGTGGAAGCGTAACGCATTGTAGTGTAGTGGTTAGCGTGCTGCGCTATGAACCTGGCTACCCGAGTTCGATTCGATCCTGCGCCTCCCCTAGGTCGACTCAGCCTCAAACGAGTAACTGCTGTGGTGTGTGAACATCGCCACTGGCGGGACAAAGGCGGCCGGGCGTTGTGAATCCAAGTCCCGGGCGAAGCGCGGCGCGCTAACCGCTACACTACAATGCGTTACGCTTCCACATGCGCGGGTCACGTGACAGATTTGACGTCACAGCTCACTTGCCGTGCAAAAAAATATGCATTATTGAGCTCCCCCCCCCCCCCCCAAACAAAAACTAAAGTGTAATTTTATAATTTTTGCATGGTGTACAGTCTGGAAAGTACCCACACGGCAAATTTCCAGTTTGTTGCATGTCTGGAACTACGCTAAACATTTTGAACAGACACACACATTCACAACTTTGCCTTTGATATATATGGAGATAGCCCTATGAGCCATTCGGCTCTTGAATCGGGTGAAGTTAGTGAGGGGCCTGTAGCATCTTCTTCTTATTACCTATAAAAGTAATGTTGTCTGTATGTGTGTCTGTCTGTCAGTTTAACACGTAGGCTTTCGTGACCAGTATTATAATAAAGGTTTTTTTGGGTTAGATCGCGTTTATTTATGAATGTGTCGCAACCCTCCACCAATCCGACACGGCCAATTAGTTACTTCTTCAGTACCACCGGCGTGTTGGAAGAGTGAATCCACAACGTTAAAAATTTGAGTACGCCGTTCCGCTGGTAATTACATCCAGCATCTTCATGCGATTTGTAAGAATAGTGAAGCCATCCACCTGCGTCCGGTCTTCAATAGTGCAGAATAACGTCATAATTGTTGAACCCCACCAAGTTTCGAGATCAGAGGCGATGGTGGGGGGGTATTGCAATTATGTAATAGATCAGTAATCAGCCACTTCGCACGCGTCATCGGTGGGGGGCGGGGAAAAATTCTCATTCGTGTGGACACTACACTACTCATGGG